ATGGCTATTCCGTACACCCTTTGACGGTGGATTGTGTTGTCTCACAAGCAGGCGAGCGATATGATGTAGTTTTACACGCAAAACCTGATTTTGGTAATTTTGTTTACATTTCTAATTTCACAACTAGTGACTGACAAGTCGAAAATTTTGATGTTTCAATTGACATTTCTAGATGAAACGTTGATCATTGTTCGTGGTTTGGGTTCATGCATAAAATTGGAATTACAAGAATTCGCCCGAATCATTTTCGTTGATGATTACTCCACTTTTTCATCAAAAGTCGAAGATCATGAACCGTTGGCTATACGACCGAACTATACCTCATTCGAAAGACCTTCGAAATCTGTAAGTTTTATTTTTACAATTTTTGATGAAAACAGAAAAAGATAATTCAATCATTTCTTCTTACTTTAGACTTTGAATCATCCGCAAACGAATTGCGCTGATCCGAATTCAAACAGCTATTGCGTTGCTGCCCTAGAATCGAAGAATATATATCCTCCAATTGGAGGAAGTTTGAGAAATGAACCTGTTGAAAAAGTCATTCCATTCGAATTCCGAGTCAGAGCTGTTTTTGATCGGCCAGGCAGTTATTTTAGTATGTTCAATATTAACTGAATCAAAGTGTATGAAATTACCGAAAACAATATTTTTCTTTGAATTTTTAGCTGCTGGTGATTTAGCCATCGTTACTATGATAAATAACATATCGGCTACACATACACCAGTCTCATTGCTCACTCAAGATGACTCGCATGTTTCCTTTTGTAATGCGGATAATTTGCCGTCGAATTGTGATAGAAACTCGATTTGCCATTGTAATCACTTGGTTGAATTGAAGTTATGCAAAAATTATGAATTCTTTTTGACTGATAGCGGAAGTAAGAATTTCGATACAAAAAACCATAATAATTTTATACATTTCATTTATATCCTGAATATTGTTCTATCTAGCACCCGGTGGTGCTGTAAGCCATCCGATTCATTTACATGGCGTTGGATTTCAGGTGATCGATATGGGAACCCTCGAACAGTATAGAAATGGGCAAACTGGATTTGGAAATTCAACCAAATTGCCGGTTGTCAAAGATACCGTTAACCTTCCCAGCGGTGGTTTCGTTCGACTGCGCTTCAAATCTTGCAATCCAGGCTATTGGTTCTTCCACTGTCACTTTGAATATCACATGCACGTCGGCATGCGAGCTATTATCAAAGTTGGTAACAAAACAGACATGGTACCGCCGCCGCCCAATTTTCCAAATTGTGATAACTTTTTTGCACCAGTCTATGAAAGTTGTTCGGACCAAATTTAATTAACATACTTGTGATCTTCGTTATTATACTTCTAAAAATAATCTCTTTGATAATATCGTTAGGATGTTGAACATATTTAAGGCTGTTTATAAAATAATTCGATAAATAAGTAAGTTTGAAAGAATATGAAATGTAAATCGTGTACATAAATTTAGTTTGTGAAATCACATTAATAAAAATTAAGTGATAATGAATCTTACTTCACAAGATTTGAAACAAAATTGAAAAAAGCAATTTGTAAAATGTTTATTTTTTCCATAAAAATGAGATATAGCACATTGGTGTCTTTAAAAAATGTATGCAAAAACATTCACATACATATTCCACTATGGTCGATTATGACGTCAAAAAATGAGGTTTTTAACAAGTGGTTGGATCAAAAAGTTATGTATATCACTGGAAAGATCTTGAAAAGTAGAAGTCATTTTTGGTATAAAACATCAAACAGGCCAGCATTTGACCATGATTTGACCGTTGGAATCTTTTCGTCCAAAATTGTTCAAACATCTTGACCAAATGATGATCGATTTGGATGTTTTGGACCATAAATAACATGTACTTTTCGAGATCTTTCCAACGAAAATGGGAATATTTGTATGGGCACACCGGCATCCAAGGCACGTGCAGCGACTCACACATGTTTATGAGCATATGTGATAAACTATTTGCATTATCTCCACTTCAATTGAAAAAATAAATAAATCCAAGTAGGGACTGTGCTTAAGTACTGTAAAAAAATTGCGTCAAAGGTAATGATATCAATTGTTAGAAATATCTCAAGGCCGTTGGTCTGCTGTCATGACAACGTAACAAGGAACAAAGCATTCTTGCTGTTTTAATCAACGTGCGTATCCAATTTTATGATTTAAGCTATCTGCAAAATGCGTAAAATTCTGATAAATCAAACATAGTTCGCGTGTTTTTAGCACTACATGAGATATAGAGCTATTGTATTTGCTTGTTTTTTTTGTCTCAAACATCATAACATACCTTGGCCGATCACGTCCAAATATGGCCAGGTGGTGTAATTTTATGGTCTCTCGGCGCTAATAACTTTTGGACCGAATCGAACCATCCCTTTCGGAATTCGAAAAACAATTTTCAAAAATAAAATTGAAAAATATATTTAGAACTTCAACATTAGGTTCAAAAAATATTATTCGAAAATTCTTTGAGACTATTACACCACCTAGCCAAATTTGGGCGCAATCGGCCAAGGTGTTTGGAAGTTATGGTGGTTGAGACAAAAAAAAACAAATACCATAGCTCTACATCTTAAGTAGTGATAAAACATGCATATAGTACGCGTAATTTGATTCATCAGAATTTTGCGAGTGTTGCTAACGAGTGGGGGTAGATGGCTGAAATCATAAAATTGGAATTTGTTGATTAAAAAAGCAAGAATGCTTTATGACTTGTTATATTAATCATAACTGATGGCAACAGATCAGCTGGAGATCAGGAATAATGGAAACAAAGATATGTTTGAGTAGCCTATTACCTAACAAGTAAACCGTCCCAACTGTCCCGCATCGGTTTCAAATTTGTATATCAAGATCGGTAGCGAATGAAAACAAAAAGGATTTTGACAAAAGGGCAGCGGCATGACTCTAGCTTAAAAACAATATCAGGCATTTTTGAGTGATGATTTGAAGATATTTCGTGAATACGATGAAACAGTAGTTTGATCATGTTTGAGTGAAAACACATTTGATTAATAGGAGCTGTTTTCGATATATCGATTTTGGTATACAAATTTGAAATCGACGTAAGACAGTTAGGACGGTTTACTTGGAATAATAAATAAACACAATAAATAATTTGTTTGTAGGCAACCATTGTAGTTTCCCGCTTGATCAATTGGAGTGTTCATTTGACAAACAATTAAAACATAAAACCTTAATTATACATTTAATTATCGGGGGAGAATTGCTTAGATTTGACGAAATCTTATCTGAATTAAATGGGATTTCACTTAAAGTATAAAACATCTCCCTTTTGTTGTTTAAGCATTAGTTTGGGTGCTACTTTCATTCGGATCTTTTTCTGCTTTTTTCCAAGAGAATTACAGTCAAAATGGTGAACGAGGTTTCCAAAATAGGATACCAATTGATTGCATTAATTCTTTTGGTTCCATTGTCAATTGGCGGTCAGATTGAAGTTCCGCTGAGCAGAAGTCAATTACGGCAAAGATTTGGTCAAGGTACAGTAAAAATAACAGAAATTTTTTCTTAGAACTGTTTAATAAACAAAAAAACATTTGATTTCAGAGAATACCACGTTCAACGATGGAAAAAGCTGTTATCGTATTTGTGATGGCACAAGAAAGAGTTGCTACTATGAGTTTATGGTAGAAAACTATGACACTATGTCTGGGTATGTAACTATCATTTTGTAATTGTACTCCGTTTCAAACGACGTTTTCCAAAGGCTAACAAAGGAACAATATTTCAGATTATGTGGCGACTGTGCGAATGGTGTGATACAAGATTGTTTCAATCTAGGCTGTGT